AAAGAAGGAGCCAAGGCCCAAATTCAAAGGGGAGAAGAAGAGGATTAAAACCACAAACCAAGACACAGGCATGCTGTAAAAAGGCAGACCCAAGGAGTGGCCATGCTAAACAGTTCCTGGGAAATGTAAAGTAGTTAATGGAAAAGTTTGAATATACATAAAGTCTATGAATGTGCATCAGGTGATGCAATAGAAATGGGATATAAAGGGTGTTTCCAAAACACCAGGGGTGCTCTTGGCAGAGGGCCAAGCACCCGGCCCTTTTAACCCTTTGCTTTATTGTCTTTTTCTCCTACTGACTTTCTTATTAAACCTTGCAAAATTGACCAGGAAAGTGAATGTTATTTTTCACAGGATCCGAGATGGGAAATTGAGACCCAAAAAGAAGAATTTGGCTGGAAAAGGAACAGTTTGGCCCAAAATTGGAGGTTTCAGCAATAAAAATGGGCAGCTTAGATGTAAAAATGAGAGTTTGGATTAAAACAAATTGGGAGTTTGACTTTAAAGGTCCACCCAGGTGAGCCAATGTGGGCCTAAAAAGGGCAGATTTTGAGTACTCAGGTGAGAAATATGGACCCAAAAAGCAGAATTTGGGCCAAACAATAGGAATTTGGGTGCCCAGATGGGAAGATTGGAACCAAAAAAGGTGAGTTTGGGTGCCTGGATGGGAAATGTGGACCCAGAAGAGGGAATTTGGATCCTAAAAGGAACAGTGTGGCCCAAAATTTGGGATTTCAGCAACAAAAAGGGGCAGTTTAGACGTAAAAATGAGAGTTTGGTTTAAAAAAAATTAGAGTCTGAAGCTAAAACGTCAACCCAGGTGAGCCAATGGCAGCCTGGGCAGAAATTTGGTGCAAGAAAGGGAGATTTGGGCTGAAAAAGGGAAGTTTGTGCCAGACAAAAGGGGAGATTGTGTCCAAAACAAGGACAGTTTGCCCAAAAATAGGAATTTGGGTCCTCAGGTGGGAAGTTTGTACCTGAAATGGGGACATTTGGCCCAGGAAGGGAGAATTTGGGCCTAAGAAAAGGGGAATTTGGGTTGCTCAGATGGGAAATTTAGACCTAAATGAGAGTTTTGGTGCTGAAAGAGAGAATTTGGGCATTAAAAGGGGGAATTTAGGAACTCAGGTAGGGTATTTGGACACAAAGAGAAGAATTTGGGGCCAATGCTGGGGACTTTGGTCCCACAAAAGGGAAATTTGGGTGCCCAGATGGGAAATGTGGACCCAGAAGTGGGAATGTGGTTCCAAAATGGACAGTTTGGCCCAAAAGTGGGGGTTTGAGCCACAAAAAGGGGCAGTTTAGACCCAAAAAGATTATGTTTTAAAATAATATTGAAGTCTGATGCTAAAAGGTCAACTCAGGTGAGCCAATGGCAGCAATTTGAGTCAAAAAGGGGAGATTTGGGCTGAAAAAGATAAATTTGGGCGAGGAAAAAAGGGAGTTTGAGTCCAAAAAGGAAATTTGGGCTATAGAAAGGGTAAATTGGGCACTCAGGTGGGAAATTTGGGCCAGGAAAGGAGAATTTTGGCACAAAATGAGGGGAATTTGGTTGCTCAGATGGGAAATTTGAGTCCCTGAATTGGAAATTTTGCTCCCAAAAAGAACAGTTTGGGCCAAAGCTGGGGGTTTGAGCAACAAAAAGGGGCAGTTTAGATGTAAAAATGACAGCTTGGATTAAAAACAATGGGAGCCTGATGCTAAAAGGTGAACCGAGGTGAACCAATGGCAGCCTGGGGGGAAATCTGTGTCAAGAAATGGAGATTTGGGATAAAAAAGGGGATTTGGGGCCAGAATAAAAGGGAGTTAATGTCCAAAATTGGGAATTTTGGGCTAAACTGGAAACAAGGACACAAAAAGCAAATTATGGGTTCAGAACTCAGGAATTTGGACCAAAAAAGGAGAATTGGGGTGCCCAAAAAAAGGGAAGTTTAGACCCAGAAGGGGGAGTTTCAGCCCTGAAAGGCAGAATTTGGGCCAAAAAAAGGTTGACTGGAAGCTCCCGGAGTGGCCTGGCTGGCTCAGGGATGAGGTTTCTCTTCACTCTGGTTTCCAGCCAGCAGATGTTTGTGGGGTTCACTGATTTTCTTGAGGAATTCGAGTTTTAGCAAGCGAGTAAAGAAATCAGGGGGGGACTCTCTCCCTGGTTTGCATTCCACAGTTTATTTCTGTGAAGGGGAATCCAAAGGGCGAAAGACAAAGGATTTGGGGTCTGGGGGGTCTCTTTTAACAGGGTTTCTCGGAGGGAGGGAACATCAGAGAGAGAAACAATTATTTTTCACAGCTAGTACATCTTAGAAACTTTCTACAAATCAAGGTTACACACCCCAAGATAAGAAATAACAGACACCAACTTCTTCAAATGGCCACAAAGGTGTAGGAGTATTCTCCACAGAGGGGCAGAGGGGCAGAGAGGGGGGCTTGGTTTCCTGGCAGCACAGGGGGGAAAGAAAGGGAAGGGGAGAATGCCCTCTCAGCTTCCACAGCTCAGAGGCATTCTGGGACAGGAAAAACAGAGTTACAAACTCCCGGGTTGGAAAGAAGGGTCTTTCTGCTGTCACCCCCGCGCTTTCCCGGGCCACCGAAACTTCAAGCAGCTGGAAATGCCAGCAGGGTCTTATCTTTACTCTATCCAGCCTCTGGCCCTGGAGCTGAGGAGAAAAACTTCAGTGACCATGGGAACCTGACTCCAGGGAAGCAATAGGAGAAAGACAAGTGTGGGGGGGAATCACAACTAAAATAGGGGAAAAGATCCATTTCAAGCTATCAACTACTAACATCAGCTAACTTAACAACATTCTAACAACTTTACCACAACTAAAGGTGAATTTGGGTGCCCAGATAGGAAACGTGGACCCAAAAGGGAAAATCTGGCTCCTAAAAAGAACAGTTTGGGCCAAAGCTGGGGGTTTTAGCAACAAAAAGAAGCAGTTTAGATGTAAAAATGAGAGTTTGGATTAAAACAATGGGAGTCTGATGCTAAAAGACCAACCCAGGTGAGCCAAGGGGGAAATTTGTGGCAAAAGGGGGAGATTTGGGATGAAAAAAGGGGATTTGGGGCAAGAATAAAAGGGAGTTTGTGTCCAGAAGTAGGCATTTTGGGCCCCAAAAATAGGAATTTGGGTCCTCAGGTGGAAAGTTTGTACCTGAAATGGGGACTTTTGGCCCAAAAAGGGAGAATTTGGGCCCAAAAATGGGGAATTTAGGCACTCAGGTAGGGTGTTTGGATTGATAAAGAAGAATTTGGGGCCAAAAATGGGGACTTCGGTCCCAATAAAGGGGAATTTGTGTGCCCAGATGGGAAATCTGGAGCCAGAAGTGGGAATTTGCCTCCCAAAATGGACAGTTTGGCCCAAAACGGTGGATTTGAGCCACAAAGAGGGGCAGTTTAGACCCGTAAATGAGATTTTGTTTTAAAAAAATATTAAAGTCTGATGCTAAAAGGTCAACTCAGGTTAGCCAATGGCAGCCAGGGGGGAAATTTGGGGTAAAAACGGGGGATTTGGGATGAAAATGGGATTTTGGACTCGGAAAAAAAGGGGAGATTAGGTCCAAAAGTGAGAACTTGGGCTCAAAAATGGGAATTTGGGGCCAAAAAAGAACATTTTTGGCACTCAAGTGTAACATTTGGACCCAAAAAGGAGAATTTGGGCCTGAAAAGGGGGAAATTGAGCACTCAGGTGGAAAATTTGGATGCCAAAAGGGGAATCTGGGTCCAAAAACCAGAAATTTGGACAAAAAAAAAGGGAATTTGGGTGCCCAGATGGGAAATGTGGACCCAGAAGGGAAAATTTGGCTCCCAAAAGGAAGAGTTTGGCCCAAAACGGTGGATTTGAGCCACAAAGAGGGGCAGTTTAGACCCAAAAATGAAAGTTTGGATTAAAAAAATAATGGGAGTCTGATGCTAAAAGGACAACTCAGGTGAGCCAATGGCAGCCGGGGGGGAAATCTACAGCAAGAATGGGAGATTTGGGATGAAAAGGGGAGTTTGGGACAGAAAAAAATGGGATATTAGGTGAAAAAGGGGAGAATGTGGGATCAAAAGTGAGAATTTGGGGCCAAAAAAGAAAATTTTGGGCACTCAGGTGGGATATTTGGACCCAAAAAGGAGAATTTGGGCCTTAAAAAAGGGAAATTTAGCACTCAGGTGGAAAATCTGGATGCCAAAAAGGGGAATCTTTGTCCAAAAAATGGAAATTTGGACAAAAAAAAAGGTGAATTGGGTGCCCAGATGGGAAATGTGGACCCAGAAGGCGGAATTTGGCACCTAAATGGGACATTTTGTCCCAAAACTGGGGGTTTGAGAAACAAAATGTGCCAATCTGGATCTTAAAGGGGCAGTTTAGATCTAAAAAAAAGGAATTTGGGGCCAGAACAGGGAGTAATGAAACCAGGAGCTTGTCATTAACTCATGTTAGAAAGTGTGGACATGATTATAACTTGAACCAGCCCCACGCTGGATTTGGGGCTGAGCCCAGGAGCCTCAGGCACTGAGAGAAGGGTGAAGAAGCTGCTCCAGGAGTCCAAAGGCAAAGTGCAAGTCCCTTGGAGCATCAGTGGCCCCAGGGAGGGCAGGGAGTGGCAAAGGCTCCCCAGGGAGTGGGGAGAGCAGATCCTGG